AATTTTCATTTTTTCGTATTAGAAGTGGCGAAAATGTTCGTTTCTTGGGTGGGCATTCATTCATTTCGGAGAGTCTCTGAATCCTGGAAAGTAACTAAAATTCCGAACAAGAGTGGCTATGAAACGGTCCTGCGTTGGTGTTTCTTTTCAACAGTCGTCCATCTTCAGAAACTTCATTCATGTGTTGATTGCAATGAGTATCTTTCATTTTCAGCTTGTTATTTCAGCTTGTCGTTCAGATTACGATTTTTTAGTGTTTGTTTATTTTATGATTTCATTTTACGTTTTATGATTTCACACTTTTTCACAATCGCACCAAATGACACTCACTAATATAAGTGTTCCTGTTGGCTTCAATGTTTTATTAGCGCTATTCATTGCAAATATTGCATAAAAAGTGGAAATATCGGCGATTATTTCGCACAAGTTTTTTTTGACAGTTTCATTGATGTAACAGGATGGTTATCTGCTGGTGGTTGTAATTTTATTTTAAGAGATCGCTACATTGAACGATTTTTTATGTCAATTGATGAAATCATCTAATGTATTGTGGGATAATTAAGCAGAGAATTCAGTCGATTTGATATATTTGAATCAAATATCGTTCCTTAATCACAAAAAAGAGTAAAGAGTTTTATAGAGTGGTGAGAAATTGAGTGGATAATAATCACTTGATCTACGTTAGGTAGATTAAGTGATTANAGTTGAATATCTGTTATGAATAAACCCATTGTATATCCATAGAATGCGGAGTGGATAGAATTCACTGCAGTGATTGTCACTCATAGCAGGATTAAGTACGGCATCGAATCATAAGAGATTTCTCGAAGCAGGTTCAAGCTGGATGTGTATCTCATATCCTCTGTCATATAATTCACCTTCCCAAAATCTTTTGCCTTCTATTACTGGATCTAAACTTCCCGTGATTGGAACTGATGCTCCTCGGACATATTCTCCATGTCCTCCAAAGGCATGAGAAAGTCCCATTTACTGACAATGAGTTTCTTTATCAATAAACTCCACTAGGTCAACTAAATATATCGAGTAATAGATATGAAAGTCAAGTGATTGACTTAATGCAGTAGTCGTTGTTCAATTCCGCTAGACAGCTGTAATGCACTGAGTGTTACATGCTGAATTGACAGAGAGAGTGTAGAACACGTAGATAAATCCCTCAGTAAATGTCATTATGTTTGTGAGCGTATGTAAACGAAACGAACGAACAGAATATAATCGATATAATGCACGACGTTTTGTGAGTGAGTATATGAATATACATACATATACTTATATATGTATTGTTGTATCTACACAAGCCATATTGTGCGCTGCTTCGAGTGAATTCCAACTGAAACACTCCGATTGTGGTCGAGATGCGAAGATGTTCTCCTTCCTAGTCGGAGTCCTATCGTTATCTCAACGTCTTATCAGCACAAAAGTGGCCGCAGTTTTCCGCTCTCACTATTCGTCGTGGAGGATTTTGATGATTAATTTTTGCAGGAAAATTTATTCCTTCCTTCATTGGTCGTCGTCCC